TGTTGAATGAGGTGAAGATAATGGGATGGCACAATATATCTATATACAGCATGAGAGCATTTGCATAGGGCAATGATGGCTTTAGGAGGGTTCCCTGAATGAGTGCAGTCTAAACATATGGATTATATGAATGGATGCTTGCAGGAGAGTTGTAAATTAAGATTGGGAAAAAGCCATAAAGTATTGGTGTTCCCATGAGTACCAGACATGCATGTCCTGCAGTCCCTCTACAGGCTTTCAGCTGGGTGAGGACTCCAGTTAGCCCTGAGACCAGGCACAGTGGTTAAGCACCTGTGAGGACAATTAAACCTTTCTGTTCCAAAATAGGGTGGCTCCTTCAAACTGCCCACAGCAGTAGTTATTGGTACATGCTGCCCCCCAAAACATACCCCAAGGCAGTGGCTGGAAGGGTTACAGGTGGCACTGACCAGAACTGTGCCAGGGCATAGTTCAGCAATTAGCTATGCTATGTGTGCTAATGCCTGTACCCTGACAATTTTCTAGAATAGATGTAGCCTCAGAGATGTAACTAGACTCAGTTGAGACCTCGGAGCCTGCAAAGTTAAAATACATAGCTCTGTAGCAAAGCTAAACACTAATGAACCATTTTTCAAAGGTTAACACCAATCCATCCTCTAACTCAGTGGGGAGACAATGTTCTTCCAGTAGCAAGCCATTACTGTGGCTAGGATCTTGGTGATTATGTCTGGAACCAAACAGGGCCAAACAAAAGGACTGTGGGGTGGTATTGGTACTGACCAGCGGAGAAACACTGCTATTGGGCAGTTCCCTGCTGCTGTTCATGTGAACATACTTGAAGTGCAGCATGCAAAACATACCTTTCCTTCAGAGGCATTGTCATCATCCTCCTGGCTTGAATTTGAATCTGCAGGTGATCTTAGGTACTCCTCATAAGGTCAGACAGGGCTGTCACCCCCATTTGCACTGAAGCATCACTAGTACCCCTGAGACCAGCTGAGGAAAGCAGGTTGTAATGTTACCCCTGATCAACACCAGGGTGTGATGCTGAATTGACTGCACAAGTAGAAATTTCAACAGCCTGTGCTGTCTGTAGATCTGTGCACTGAACTTGAAAGAACTACAATATTGTACTTAGCAGGAGTATTCAGGGAGGTTAGTTGCTTTGTAAGGGAAGGAGGAGTTATGGTTTTTTTGTTGGTTCCAAAGCGACCTCTCTGGACTTCCTACCATCCTACCACCGTATCCAGTTCTCCCAGAAAATCACGTGTAAATGGAAGTTGTCTTTCAGTGCTTATCTGGGTGCTGTGGAAAACAGAGTGCAGAAGATCCATGTGAAAGGCGGAACTTGTATGTGTAGCATGCTGCACCAGAGCAGCTGGCATCTCTGAAGAGTGTCCAGCTTTTCTGCAGAGGAGCAACATAAGCTTTAAATAAAAGACAAATGTTTGAGGAAGGACAAGTGAAGGAGGAGGTCAGTCATGAGGCAGAGGGAAGGACAAATTAAAAAAATTCCATTCCATTTCTCTTCTGCCCATACAGGATGAAGATATGTTCTGACTTGTTATGTTCTCTCTGCTGGAGCTGAGCCATCCACTCTGGGAGCACCTCCAGATGAGGTTGTGTATACATGGCCATTACTTAGCAGTAGAACAGGCTTTTTTGGATTATGGATACAGCAGAAGAGAATCTGGTAAGTAAAAATTTAGATCAACTGGGAACAGTGGAAGTTTGTACTGAGGTGCAAAATAGGCATTTTAAGACACAGCAAGTTGCAGCCCTCTGACAGGTTAAAAAAGGAAGCTAGGTTTGGGTTAAAGTAGCCTAGTACTTAAAGTAGATGCTCATCTAGAAATATTTCTGTCTTTGGTCAGTTATTGTTGAATCATTAAAGAGAGATAGCAGAGAGGAACTGTTAGTGTGTACTCTCTAACTACATATCAGACCAACAAATAACAGTCAAACCCTGATCAGATGTTTTTTAAGATGCATGCATGCTATTAACACCAATGCTTGAACACCAAAGTGAAATTGCAGTTCTAGCATCTAATTCCTTTAAAATCTGTAAGACAGGTTCTCTTCTCCAAGCAGAGGACTGGAGTGAAAACAAGAATTGCGTGTTAATTCAGAAGGAAACCTAAACCACAATGCAAAAGAAGAATAACTATGGAGTCTTCAAAGCAGGACATACTGTAACTCATTCTGTTTTCTTACACCTGAATGCACAGCTCAGAGGCAGGGCTGGACAGTCTTTGGTTACACCAAGACTAGTTCTGTTAATCGTCAGTCCTTTGAGGTATATATGCTGCACTGCAGAAACTCACAGGTTTGTCTTGTTTATAATAGCAATCAGAGGAAAAAACGCTCATCTCGCTGTAGTTTACCCAGGCAGAGTAGCACACTACTGATCAATAATAACATGTCATGTTTTGCAACTGCCCAGAGAAAAGATCCCTGAACTGAAAAGGGCAAAAGACCTGCTGATTACCTACTGCTAACAAAATCAATGGGCCAGAACAGGGTTGTGAGGTGTCTGCCATCTACTGCTTATATTCAGTACAATTCAGTACAAACATGACCTTGTGCAGGAATATTTGCTATCATGAAAAACAGAACTGTAGGAAAGTGAGTTGAGCAGAAGCCACATTTTTGTTGGGGTCACATTTGTAAACTGTCAGGAATTCCTCCATCCTAATATAACATTTACCTGCGTACATGAGGTCAAAGAAGATGATGAGGCAGTTAAAAGACTAACTCAGCCATGGGGTATGAGATGGCAAGATGAAAAAAGTTGTTTGGAGATGAGTGTGCCTGCGTTTATATGTGCATGGATGCACACTCCTGCCCTTTCTCCCATTATGACTTCCATCCATTTTCCTGATCAGATTAAAAATTATACTCTCACACAACTTTTAACCAATTAGGAAGGATGTGCTACAAATTCAGAAGAAAAAAAAACCTTGCCAACTCTTGCCGTTTCAAGTTAAAAGATGATTTTAAAAATCATTGCATGATACCGCAGGGCACTTTGGATGTGGTCCATCAATTCAGACAGATGTTGTATTATTGATTGTGTTGAACTACTTTCAAAATACTAAAGAGTTAACGATTTGTAAATAAATATTTACCCTGCTGGTAGGAGTTATATTCTGGCTGCATAAAGTGGTGATGCTAACAGGTGTTTTTTCATTTATTTTTTATTTTTTGGGGGGGATCTGCTGCAGTGTTAGCACTTTTAAAAAAGAATGGTCCTTGGGGAGGTAAATCTTACAATGAAAAATGGGTTTCATTTGTTACTGAGGAGTCTAAATTCCTTTTGGTTATTGAAGAGCGAGTAAATTAGAAGAAAAACATCTTGACTTAAAAACGTCTTTTGAAAATTGCGCGGATAATGTCTCCTGTTGCTTTCATTGGACTGAATATAGTTGTCAGATTTAATACAAACCAGTAAAACCCGTTAATACAAGGCAGTAAAAAGTGATGTTCATCTAAAAACTGTTGTCTGATTCTAATGAAGTCCAATGTGAAGTGGTATATTCAAAGTCAATTTTTAACTTGTGCCAATTTATCTTCATAACAAAAAACTATTTTCACTTAGAAAGATACATATAGCATTCAACTATGTATTCCTGCATTTTGTACCATCCCCAAAGTATCCATGATAAATTAATCTCTCCCATAAAAATTCAATATGCCTTTTTCAAATGCTTATTAATGTTTCCTAGACCTTACTGTTTTGTTTGGTTTTGGGTTTTTTTGGTGTTGTTTGTTGTTTTGTTTTTTTTTTCTGGTTGTTTTTTTTCTTCTCTCCTTTTTTTTTTTTTTAGGTTAAGTACCAGTTAATTAAAATTAAATTGTAATTATTTTTATTGGAAAACTGATTCTTTTGAAGAAGTGCAAACTCCACTGTGGCTTCTTCTTGATCTAAAGGAAACTTCTGTTGTTACAGATTGCACCTACAATTAATATACAGACAAATGTACAAGCTTGATTTCTATAAATGCTCATTCCAGTAGCCGAAATGGATCTCCTGTATTTTATTCATCAACGAGCCCCCGAGTTCTGATGGTTTATAAGATTTTAGTCTCTGTATTTACAGTGTATTAACTTTTCCTTCCAAGCTGCATCAGAGCTTCAAAATAAATGGATGTTTTCAACCAAAGCCTTTCTCTTAAAGATGGAAGAATCTTACCTGACAGATACTCTGATTTCATTCATTCACACTGGTACATAGGTCTCTAGTGCAGTTACACTTTCCAACCTTGCTCTGGTGCTTGTTTTGGTGATTAATTTGCTTTATACACAGTTCCTTACCTGAATTAGCAAATGTTCTTCCTGAAGTGCACCTGACCTTTGTATTGCAAACATGCTGAAAAAAGTATTCTGCTTTGATAGGGAAAGCTAATTTGCTTTTAAGTACCGGGATATTTTTTTCTCTGTCATATCCTCAATGAATATTACTGTTTCTCTTCAGTTATACCAGAGAGTATAAAAAGCCTCACTGGCTGTGGTTAAAATGACAAAAAGTGTTTTTTCCAACAGAAACCTCATCTTTCTAACAGATCTCTCATTACCATTCTCTGGTAAGCTGTTTCTCTTACTGGTGTGTGAGCACAGCATGTGAACTCAGCACCACAGCAGCCCAGATGACGCATGGTTCGTGCTCTGTATTAAGTTGAAGGGCGTGCAATAAGTTCCTGTAGCCTGCAGGTTAATGCTCTAGGGGGGAAGCAACCACTGAGAATTCTTTAACATCTCATTGATGGTGCTTCACCCTTTCAGTTCCCTGCTAAGCTGTAGCAGCTATTCGGGGTACAGAGAGGAGTAAGCCCTGTGAAAGGATCAGCACAAACAGAATTCTGGACACATTTTTGCTGGGCTCGCTTTAAATGCTAGTTCAGTATCTCCTAAAAACTGCATGTTTATTCAGTCTTCTCTCCCTTCACACAGCTTTTCTGTGTGATCCCATCTCCCCACCACCACCTCTTGTCACTGCAATTCTGGCCAGAGAAATAGCCAGCTACCCCACTGTGTGGAGTGGAAGAGTGAGAACTGACAGTCATGACTGGGTGATAACAAGCATAAACCCTGCTGGCCATGACTTGGCCAAGCTGAGGGTCTGCCAGCAATTAAAGGATTAAAGGTAGATGTTTCCTGCTGGAAGCAAGTAAAAGCACTTTATTTTCCCCCTTGAATTTTCTGTGACTCGGAGTGAAACCCTGCTGTACATATACAACTGTGTGAACTGAAGTAATTTGGCATTTCACAAAGGCGCTCAGCATTTTAGGGAAATGGACTATAAATGAGTGCAGTGAATTGTTATGCACACATGTTAAATGTTATATAAACTGTTTTCCTCATTACCATGTTGTAATAATGGAGTCATGACTTTTCCAAGAAAAAGAGAAGACGTGATTCAGCTGACCCTGGGAAATAAGTTTTTATAGTAAATTGGAAAAATAAAGCTCGATTTCACAATATTATGTTATATAATTGTATCAGTTTAGTATAGTAAGTGTGATTTTGCTTCTGTCTTTTGAAGGTAGCAATCTAGTAATTTAATACTATATTTGTCAGCAAATGAACATGTATTTCCAACACAGACTGTAGATTAAATTTTAAAAAATATTAATTTGGAGTTTGACCTCCACAGTTACTGCCTGATAAAATATAAGTAAATATGTCATTTAAAGTATGCAGTAGACAACTATATAGGCAAAAGACTTCAGATATTATGATGATACTCTTTGCGAAGAATATTAGCGTTTACTAATCAATCCTATAGTTGCTGCTGTTATATTATATTAACAATTCTTTAAATATGTGAATGCCAGAAGGGGAAATTCACAAAAAGGAAAATGACTTTACATATAACTTAGTGGGATAACAATGTTTAGAACCTATTTTAAAGAAACCGTGACAGACATCTTTCATTCATCAGTCTGCCACAACAGGAAATTACTTCCTCTAATACGTAATGAAATAAATAAAGGTCAGATGGTTCGTTTGTCTGCATTTACTTTGCACAGTTCAACCAGTAAAACAGGATGTTTTCTGTTAACATTGCTCCAGGTTTCCTGGTAACGATAGCACCAAAATAAGGACCAGATTTTGTCTAGGTGAAATTCACTCCTCCTGCATAAAGCCCTATGTCTAGAATCTGCAAAGAAAAAAGCTGAAGTAAGATGTGGAAGCTGCTAAATTTATGTGTAAGCACCAGGCTGCGATCCGTACAAGCTTACAGGAGTTAGGTACTCAGCTTCCACTGACGCTCAAAGGAGGTGAGCACCTTCGTTCTTAAAGCTTTTTTGAAAATTCCAGCCCTGTAAGATGTAACAGCCTCCCATTATTTGCTCAGGGACAGTACGTATGTATACATATATATGAATAGCGCCTTGGATATTCAAAATCTATGCAAGGGAAAAGAAGAGCATAGAGCATGCAGCTTCTCAGCGGCGAAGAGACAGCAGCCTTGCTGAGCCATACTGCTTATAAGACAGGCTGTTGGATCTTCCTCATAGACCACACTTGACTTGTGCCCTTAAGAGATCTTCAGCTCAGCCAGAAAGATGAGGGGCTGTGAATTAATTGTTGGAAAACATTGAACCGTGTGAACTGGGTTCAAGTGGAAGGAAGGGCTTTAAGTCAGCCGCATGTGCGCTGGATGTTCCACCTAACTGGAATGCGGTTTGTGTTGAGGTATGTTTTCTTTCGCTCATTTTTTCCTGAAATGTGCAATTACAAAAGATAAAATATTTACATCATTGAAAATGAAATTTCAGTGTCAGCTTTTTCTGTCATAAAATTGAATATCCCTATGTGCAACAGGTGAATTATTTTCCTTGGGGATCAGATACAAAACTGTTTTCAATACAGAGAACAATAAACTGATTACTACAGCTATATACTTTCTGATCAAGAAGTTTTCCTGTCTTCAGTGGTGATGCTTGTCCCATAGCTCCCGTATCAGCTGTGTGCCAGGCTTCACAGTAGTTGCTAACCAGTCGGATCCCATTTGCAGTTGAACCATGCCATATTACTTTTTGAGGCCTGAAAGGTAATGTTAAGAATTTATTATTTCCTGAAAACGTCCCTTCTTTTGCTTTATTCAACTGCACACCTATTGTGTGTGGTGACTGTATTTCTGCTTTCTTTCTGCTTGAAGCAAACAATGGATAGGGGAAGATAAAGACAGACGGGAGAGGAAGAAAAGGAGAACACAACCTGATATCCCATTCAGAGGGTATCAGAAGTGGAAAAGAAAGAAAGCATAAGGAAAGGGAGAAAATGTTATCACATTTCTAGTAGCCCAAGATATTGCTATTTATAGTATCTGGTAAAGATAAATGGCATGTAAAACTTATAAATGGTAATGTAAACTCACCAAGATGGATCAGTCATAATGTTCCTCCCATCAAATGAGTATATTGGAACATGAATGTTGAACTGTCCACCGTTTCCATTAAATATAGATTCCCAGTTACTGAAAAGTATTTCTCCCTGTTAAAATCAAAGCTACTTTTACAAACAAAACAAATCCAAAATGCATGTCATACCTGACTTTTATAGACTTATCTATACATTTAAAATCTTATCTGAATTTAAGAATACTTATGATTCCAGCTTTCACATCAGTTTTTGCATGATGCTCCTGAACAAACTTGTCTCATCTATCATCGCTATGCTAACAGCTCTCTGATCCATGCCTTTGCCTCACAGTTGCATCTCTGTTCTATTGCACTCCAAATATTCAGCCTGATAATTTCCATTTCCACTGTCCTTTTCCTCCCAACTGTGTAAGGGGTTGCTTATAACTGCTGAATCTACAGAGAAAATATAAAGATGATTTGTATTGGAAATTCTGTTGAGGTCACAACTTTGTGAAAAGTGCTGCAAATGTTCAGGGCAAAAGCTTTGTATCAGGCTACCTCTCAAGCTGCTTTTGAGGTTTCCAGTCAAAGTTGAAACAGTATTGTCTTTACAAATTTATCTCCAAGGCTCTTTATTTGCATGCACTTCAGAGTAGCATCCGTTCAGCATGTTCCAAGCGTCACGCGTTATTCCTGTAGGTTTCTTTTGGCCGTTCGTTCTGGGAGCCAGCCAATGCTACAGAGACATGGTTTGTTTTCCTCAGTTTTAGAGTGTGTCTGTTTATGTGAGACCACAAAATGACTCATGCTCTAGACTCTCCTCTCAGTTTCACTGGGGTAAATCCAGAATCACTCCTAAGCACTGAATTTGCCTTTATCTTTAGAAATGAGAAAAATGAGTAAAACAGGCATTTTAGTCTTCTGTATTCAGTGATCATACTAGAAGATAGATCATAATAGCTGTCTTTGAGAAATCAGGCTGCACTTTCCCTGCTGATATAAAAAATATCGAGAAAGCCGAACATCATGCTGTTGCTTTGTCAGCAGTTTGATCAAAGTAGGCTATTCGCATAGCTTTATTTCTACAATTAGCCTTAGGATATTAGAAAAAGGAACCCTTATAAATGCAAAGGAAAAGCGAGACAGTCTGTAACTTTCTACTTTATTACTACTTTTGTGTTTCTTGAACCTTACTCTGAAATACGAAACAAAGCTGCTGCTTTATAAAATGCAGTTTGGGTTGAAACTTTCTGCTTTTGCCACTTTCCAAGATTTTGGAGCACCCACAGCCTATCCAAAACAAGTACTAAGCACTCATTTTTACCTTAAGATTGACTATTGGTAAATGGTATCGGTCTGTTTTTCTGACAACTGTGGCCAAATCTTGCAAGTGTGATGAGAGGAAGGCTCTATAGGTAGATGTCAAACCTGCTAGTTGGGCCTGTTGAAAACACTGAAAATCTGCTCGCATGTCACCAGAAAATGGTAAGTTTAGAGCCGCCAGATGCAGCTGGAGAAAAAAAAAGAAGAAAAACCACATTTTTTTTTAAAGTTTCTAATACTATGAAGACATATATTGGAAACAAACTAGACCCCCCCCTCCTCCTGCTAGCACAAGAACTAGTACCTTCCATATCAGGTATGAAAGTGATTTGATGCCATAACATTACATTTCTTAAAGCTATGAGACCCATAGAAGACATACCTATTTATCTTAGAACATTAAGGAAACCATGAAGATTATATAACCCTAATAAATAAAATTATTTTAAAACCAGCTAATATTTTAGCAGAAGTCTTGGTGTTGTCACACAGACAAAATCCCAAATCCAAAAAGTAGTAAGAAGTGACCATATACCATTTAAAAATTCACTGTCATAAAATACAAGAAGTCGCATGCTTAAGTTAAACTCCAGATGTAAGAGAGCTAATCCACATTTTTGGTTTCTGGAGGGGGTTTTTTGATTTTGATTGGAGGTTTTTTTAGTTGTAACTCAGTTACTTTGTTTCTCCAAATATTTTAAAGTATTTTAAATGAAGGCTTAGATTCTAAAGTATTCTAAAACAAGCAGCACCATGAAAACAGAAAAAATTCTAATGAATATTTTACTGATTTAATTGTAACACTATTGTTAACTTAAAAATTACTGCGTGTTGCAGGTACAATCACTAAGTGAAGCGCTATTCCTAACTCAGAATCAAGATTGGGGTTTTTTTTGTTTGATTTGGGGAAGGGGCTACAATGATGAAAACAGATCTGGAGGAAACAATTTAAAATTGTCTCTGAGATGTCTAAACCAGATAAAGAAGAGTATTTGTAAATTTCTAAAGTAAAATCTGTGATTTTGAAGAGGAAATATCACAAATTTCCCTCAAGATACAAACTGTCATGTTTCAAACCACAGCTATGCAGTTGCAATACAGATCTCATACTTACTGCTGGTTTTCCATTGTTCGTATTTGATATTGGACTCAGTGCTGGAAGAGACTGAAATCCCTGTTATTTTAACACATGCAAACAGATATGTTAAATGCATTACTCGGAACAGAATTTTAGACACAGTAATTTTCTAAATAAAGCAAACATTGAACTCTCGATAATCTGAAACTGTCATGCTTCTGAAAAATAAACCCAAACCATGTAGCCAGAATACTTTATCTACATATCATCGATTTGGTGTGTCACGTAAAGATGTGTCTGAAAGCTGTCCTGGCCAGAGCTGCTTTGCTAGACCTGAATGTACCCATTCCACAGTGCTCTGCCAGAGCTGGCATCAGTGCCTGATCACACCTGGAGATCTGCATGGAAGTAGCCTGCTCTTGGCAGGAGCAGATGACTGGTTCAGGAAAATCGAATCTGAAAATGTAAGAAGGATGTGGAAACATAAAATGTAGTGAGTGGGAATATTTCTCAAGGTCTTGGTAACTCTCTCTCTTAAGCAATTGTCATGTAGAGGCCAGAAGGTCGATGATCTTCAGAAGCTGTTTCAGGAACAGCAAGGTTTTCTTCTTCAGTTATGGGAAGTATGAGTAACAAGCCACTGACTGTACCAGTTGGAAAACTCACGTGGTGTCAGCTGGAGGCTGCAGACAATTTCTTGTAACATAAGGTCTAGACATTTTCCCAGCATGCTAAGTGCACTTTTCTCTGACCTACTCTAACTTTTTCTTATTTCTTTCTGGCCATCTTCCTTCTCGCTGCTCCTTCCTATCACTCTCTTGCATTTTCATTATCTCAGCAGTCAAATCAATTAACTTGTCATCAATAAGACTGTTTTCTATCCCCTTCACCACTTCTTGGTTTTCATCCTCCTGTGATTTTTTGGGACAGGAAGCATGTTCACATGCAGGTTGGTACAATACCTTGCAGAATGAGGTCAGGTACAAACTAACAATTGAGGCTTTAGAATGGACCCTCAGCACACTGTGGGTTAAACTACATGCAGGTGATGATGCTGTACCCTGAATATGGGACTATAATCTTTTAAAGAAAACCTGCTTTTCAGAAACACTTTTCTGTTTCCTTGAAAGGGACCAGGGCTTGATAATGCTGCTTTGTCTCTGTAGTGTTTGAATTCTCAGAAGATAATGGAAACAGATGACTGGCCAGTGCAAATCAATTTGCAAGTTTATGTAGTGGTAGGATGCTTATTTTGAACTGACAAGTCTCAGTGGAAAATCATGTTGTGCAACGATTTGCCTGCAACTTCTGCCAAGTGTATTGCCTGTTTTTGCACATTTAGACTCAGTTTTTCACAGTCCAATGTTTTGTACTTACATGGCTTGATATGGCTGGAGGAGGAAGGCTGTCAGCAGGGACAGGAATTAGCTCACCAAGCTGAAAGAACCCAAAAGGAAAAGCAAACAAAACCATATCACCAGGAGCTTCTGAACTAAAAAAAAAAGGAATCTTTGCACCCATACTTCTCCCCCTGTGTAAAAAATATCTGCAACAATTCCATCTTGAGTAAGGGAGTTGGAAAGGGTTAGGATGTAGTGCAATAGTACCTGCAATTTTCTCCATCCATTTCGAACACGGATAAAAACCTCACTGGTTTCACTCAGATAGATTAGCGTACCCTCTGCTACCAAATGAACTTTTTCCAACATACCCTCAATGTTCTGGAATGTTGTAACCTGTCAAGTAGGAAAATCAAACATGTTTCATCAGACACACAAAACATTTTTCATGTTAAATTGTTAAATTGAAGTCTCATTTGAACGCATAAATGTCAAGATTTCTTCCACAGGAAATGCTCATAAAGCCAGTTTTACATTATTTCATACAAAAAGCTTCAGTAACATAAATATCTTGCTACTTTGGCACACCAGCATCATCATTCTGTGGGTTGTAATAGAACTACACCAACAGTTGATTTTGCACAGGGTGAAGATCATTGCACCTATACAGCTTAACATATAGAGCAAATTGGTAGAGCTCAGAAGAGATTTGATAAGGTTTATAAATATCACGCACAATTCTAGATACATCTGCTTCTTTTATATTTTCCTTAGTGTTGTTGTGATCTCTTTTCTTTAAGGGTGTTTTCTTCCATCCCTTTTGTTATGTTTCCAGATGCTGCTAGTTTATACATCAAGTATTTTTCAATTTCTTTTACAGATCATCAGGAGGCTTAAACTGATATCTGTCAGATATGGACATTGAACCTATTACCTCTGTCACCTGAAGATAAGAACACAGTCCTGAGATGGGTTGCTTCTGCAGTCTCTTTAATAAATGTATTTAGTGTAAAATCAGGGAAAAGTTTCTTGAGAGTGCCATTTCTTGACACTTGAGTGTCATGTCTCATTTCTTCAGTGAATCATGCAGACCCTACTATAGACTTACATATTGGTTCTAATGTTGATTCTGACCTAAGTGGCCTTGGATCTCCTATCTAGGACTGTAGCTCCCAGCCTGTAACTACGGTTCTCTACCATGGGGCACCAGTCTTTGAACATCTCCTTTCTCCCCTGACCTGTAATCATTGTCAGGTCATTCTATGAGAAAAGGCAGTTAGCAGAGGTGGGAAGGCATTAGGAAACCTACACTCAGATTCTTGTTAGTTCATTTGATATGATGTAGATAATCTGAAAGTCTGCTTGTTTATTAGTGCATTCTCAAATGATTGTCACAGATATCCATTGAATTTGCTTTTCTATCATAATGTGAGAATGTGGAAAAGGAAAAAAATTTAATGAACCCCCTCTGTTAGCCTGAATAATTTTTTTTTTGTTTTTTTTCGGAAACTACAAATATTTAATTAGAAATTAATAAGACAGAAGTCAGCTGTCATTCTTACTGCATGGAAATCTGAAATACAATTCTGATTTGAATGATGCATTAAAAAGAAACAAATTTATATGTATTCTCATATTTAGATTTGCTAGGGAAGGCTACTGTTTTCTTCTTAGAATCAAATGACTGATATTACTGGGTTTTAATCCAATAATGTAAAGTGGGTTTTTTCACAGAAATTCAGCAGTTATTCTAGTATCTAAACATGTTAATTTGCCACACTCTTCCAGAGACATTGCTTTGAACGTGGAATGTGCCCTTTTCTATTATTTTAGTATGTTATTGGTCTTTGCAGTTGTTTGACCAGGCTGTTACTAACAAGGCAACGGACAGACTTCTCCTCTCATCACTTTTCCCAGCTTTATGGATTCCCTGCTGAAAAATTATGAGGTTCAGAAAAGCAGATCACATGCTAATAAATAAAAACACAGAACAGAAGACATTCTAATAAATAAAAACACAGCTTTGCTTCCTCTCTGTGTGCTACCAAAGACCACTAACAGATTTGAAGTAACGTTTCAGTGACAAACTTCCTTATTTTGCTGTCTTACCAGACTCCTGGTTGCAGGTGGCCCTGGCTCTCCAGGAGGACCTGGTGGCCCAGGCATTGCAGCTGCTAAAATAAAACAAGCATACAATACATGTTGAAGGTCACCTTTTTTGAGAGAGAAGGTGGGTGACATAAAGAAAGGACTTACTGGTGGTGTCTAGGAGTAGTGAGAGATTTAAATAGCCATAGGCCTTACATAGTCAAGTTATGAATAGCTGTGTTCAAGCAGAAAATGCATTTTAAGGATTTTTTATAAAGCGATGGTGAAACTTAGTCTTTTCTCTGTTATTTGGAAGGTTAAGGTCAACAGAATGCAATCTGTTGTAGATACTTTGCAAATGAAGAACCATATGCACTTAAACTGACCAGAATGCTCTTCTGCTAACTGCTAATGATGTGCATATGAAAGAGGTAGAGCTTTTAACTCCTGCCTATATAAGCTTTGAGAGAGTCATTACATCTTTTGCTCTAAAAGTAAACAAAAATTAACTTCTTAGATAAAAAAAATAATATGTGTAAACTGAGCTTATGTTTCAAAGCAACAAAGAATTCTCCAGTGGTATGAACTTGAATCTCTAAGACTGCAGTCCACAACATCTAGTACCTAGTACCTGTCTCTACTCCAAAACTGAATATCTCCTTCAGCTGAAAGTCCCTGTTTTCTGGAGTGAAAACTCCTTTCTTTTAAGGAAGGAAAGGAGGAAATATATGGAAGACAGAAAGCATCTTGTGCAAATGCATATCATGATAATTGAACATCAAAACTGTTCAGAAGAAAGAGCTGCTACACATGGAACCTGCTGAGCATCATGGTGTGTCGCAGCAGGGCTCTATAGCTGAGATCTGGGCACATCTTGTATTAACCATAAGTAGAAACTCCTGTAGAAGAAAACAGACATGCAAAGTGGGGGCAACAAAACAGGGGAGGGGATATAAAAGGCTCAGTAATAAATCTGATTAGGAACAGCAAGGCATGACGAGAGCTAGTATGACATGGAAGAAAGAGATGTAGTGGTGGATAGTTGTCAGACTACCCAAGCATGGGGAAGTCTAGCATGTCCTAGCATGATGGTGAATCTGGAGTATGAACCATGCACAAAGAACTGCAAGGTTCAGCTCCTAAGTGGTCTGTAATTCTCACCTTGATGGGCACTTGAAAACATGTTTGGCTGCTCTTAGCTGTGCAAATAGTCCTATAAACCCAAATACAGACAGAACTGCTCTTCAAAAGTGAAGCAGAAATGGAGGGATGCAGGAATATTCTCTGAAACTACCCTTTGGAGAAATTTTGGGGAGCACAGCTGGTAGACCTCCCACAATAACCAAAGTCCACTCATCCACAGCTTAATGGATAGAGCAACTAAACTGACTGAAGGAGAGTAACAGAACATAAGTTAAAGGAACATACCTTCTGCTTTCATAATTTTCAAAGGAATCAGGATCACAGTGATCAGTGAAACTGGAGCTATAGATTCCCCTCCAACCCCGCAAATACATTCAGTGAAGAAGAAGTATTGACTATCTTCTCTTTTATTGTATCTCTCCACTCTGAAGTAGTGTGATAGTCAGGATAAAGGATTGTAAGATACATTTTTAAAATAGAATTTGAAGCATGGAAGAGTCAGTAGAGGCTAATCCTGAGATCACTACTGCGTTCCAGAGCTTGTGTTTTATTTATATGTAACTCTTGAATTAGGAGGCTACAGTTATGCACCAATAAAGCAAGTTCTAGTGTTTAAAAGGAGCCTTGAAATCATCTTTTACAAATTGAACAATCTGCTTTGAAGAATTTACAAGGATCCTTCAGAGCAGTTCTTTCATGTCAATGGCAGGAGAAAGGGAGTCAGTTGTCAGAAGTGTTCACAGCCATTTATCTGCAGATAAGCTATTCCTCTTTCCACATATTGCAGTATGTGAGACCCATATTACAGTAAGAGCTTTAACAGAGATAACTGTGCCTTGAAGATAGGAAATAAATAAATATCTGTGTTCATAACATTTAGCAAAATGGACATCCATCAGTGTGCGGCCTAAAGAAGTTTCTTACAAAGCAGAGGAAAATGTGTAGGAGGATGATGAAGACTAATGGCAGAGAGGATAAGCGAAAGTATTAGGGATAGAGTACTAATAATAACTTGTTTTGTCTGACTGGGTCTCTTAGCTAATATTCAGAAGTGCTTAAGATAAATTATACAGGAAAAGGCCTGAAGGCCTTTATAGACTTTATGGATGCTGATCTGTCCATATTATGATGATCAGGGGCTAATTCAGGTCCAGGCCTGTGTTCCAATGTTGAACATATTAAGGATTTCTTCTTTCTCAAATATTCTTCAGAAGATGAACACTTCTGGTAGACACTCAACTAATAATACTTACTGGATAAACTGGATTTACTTCACCTTGTCCCTGGACAGCTATATAAACCAATCTGACCAGGTTCAAGCAATACCTGGAGAGAACAAATTTGAGACAGAGAGGTCTGCTCCCCAAACTAGCATATTGGAGGCACAGGTCTTGCAGGAAAACAGACAGAATGGTATTTCTCAGAAACAGAGATCTGTTATTAGCTAGGCCTGCCCAAATTTTAGGCAGGACAGATCTGTATTATAGTCTCTCTATTTGGTTAACAATTCCCTTTCTATTAGTATACCATCTTCAGCTGAGATTAAGGAATGCTTCTGGCTGAATTCCCATGCTGGTCACAGTTCCCAGAGGGAGGAATCAGTCACTCACTCAGGGAGACCTGTCGAGTAATGTCAGAGGAGCCCAGGACCCCATCCACCAGATCCTAATCTAAGGGCTGGACATTAACAGTACGAGGCTTGTCACTAGCAGACCTGTGACCCAAGAGAAGTCAAACCCATAAATGTCTTGAACTGTGACACATGGTTTCTAGCCACATATTCCCTTTGATGCAAGTTTGAGATAATCCACCTGAAGCTCCAGTGCCACCTTCTTTGCAAAGTTCCTCCCTTGATGTGACTATTTGTGGCACATTTTACAGCTTTTCTAATCAAATAAATTGAAAATCATTAAAGGTACTGTAACTGACCCTCCTAAAGTTTTGTTTCTATTCAGTATTTGCATAACAACTAGGTTTTAGAAGCAGTTCTCGAGTAGTTTCATTCTAGACCTAAACTCTGCTGTGGGTACTGCCTTTATATCATGGAATCATTTAGGTTGGAAAAGACCATTAAGATCATCAAGTCTAACCGTTACCCTGACTTCCAAGTCCACCACTGAACCATGTCCCTAAGCGCCATATCTACCCATCTTTTAAGTACCTCCAGGGATGGCAACTCAACCACTTCCCTGGGCAGCTTGTTCCAGTGCTTGACAACACTTTCAGGGCACACTGCTGGCTCATATCCAGCCAGTTGTTGACCAACACTCCCAGGTCCTTTTCTGCTGGGCAGCTTCCAGCCACTCTGCCCCAAGCCCATAGCACTGCATGGGGTTGTTGTGATCCATGTGCAGGACCCAGCACTTGACCTTGTTGAACCTTGTACAACTGGCCTCAGCTCATCGTCCAGATCTCTCCACAGAGCCTTCCCACCCTCGAGCAGATCGACACTCCCACCCAACTTGGTGTTGTCTGCAAATTTACCGAGAGTGCACTCAATCCCCTCATCCACATAATTGATAAAGATATTAAACAGAACTGACCCTAATACTGAGCCCTAGGGAACACAACTTGTGACTGCATTTAACTTCATTCACAACATAATGTGGGCATTCTTGGCCCACATTAACAACTTCTCAAATTTAGCCAGCTCCTCAGTTTGATAGATTTTGCAATGCTCTCAAGGCAGCCTGTCTCCATTATATAGACTCCCCACAGCCACCATAAGGTTTTTCATGCAGTAGTGCTCCCATTGGCATTAGTCAGTGAAAATTGTTTGCAGAGAAACTGTCCCATTTGTGCTCCCAGTTCTAACTCACCCCACAGGATAAATCAGTAGAGGGCAGGAGGAGAGAGGGGAGCCATGTGGCTCAGGTGTGCAGAGTGGGTGGGTAGATGGAAGAACGGGTGTGTAAAGGAAGGCAGTGTGTGTGGGTGTGCGTGCATGCCTATGCGCTTGCATATACAGTGAAAAGCAAAATCACACCCTCTCACCTGAGCCATATATTGCAGGGGGTCCTGGTGGGCCTGGTGGGCCAGGTGGGCCAGGAGGTCCAATTTTTCCATAACCTGGTAAACCAGGTAGTCCAGGTAATCCTGGAGGTCCTCTGGGTCCGACTACTGAATCCCCTTTTGGTCCCTATTATTGATAAAAAGTATTGCTTTGAATGTAACAGTTCCGCTGCTGCAGCGCCTTCATCTTTGATAGCAACGTTTTCTGAAGGCCTGCCACCACACCCCTGTTTAGCCATGAGTCTGTAGGTAATTTTTTTCAGTGAGGCATGGATATGAATGCTAAATGAAAAATTTGACCATACACTAAACTAAATTCAAGAATTTAAGTTTTAGAAAGCTTTCTGAAAGTTCTTACGCCTGTTCTCAGTAGCTGATATCTGCAAAATTCATGACAGCACTCTCAAAGTCCTGAATCTCAACTCTGCTTGTGCTGAGACTACTTTTGATGTGCTTATAAGCTAAGAGTTTGTCTGAAGGTACATGGTGGAAAGTTTTAACATAAAGTGTGTCTATGCAGGGTCTCATGCATAGGGAGACATTCATCTCATGATGAATTTTTTTTCTCCCTCCTGTGATCAAATGTCAGCTAATATTCCTTAAACTCTTCAGTTGCCATTCTTCCAGATTAAAAAGGCTCCATTTCTCTACATTGCCAGTTTAGCCATGTATCCTCAACCTGAATGAGGAAGGCTTGTGCTTCCTGTGCTCAAACTGGCCTGCATACATGGAACAGTTTTTGGGCCCTGGACTAGGAGAACTCAGTCTCTGATGGATCTCATCTGTGCCATCCAACTACTTCTTGCCAGTAGAACAGTTTATCAGGTTCTCAGCAACACAGAATAACACCAGGGGGGATTTCTGAAGGTAGGCTTGCTAACCTATCACTTTGTCTTCAGATGTGACCCACCCATTCATGTTATTGGCATAGAATGTGACAATAGAGTAACGCAATGTGCATGTTTGATGCCAGATCTCAGGAATAAACCAGTTTCCAAAGAATTAATGCATTTGATTCCAAAGCAGTTGTGGTGGCAATTACTAGAAGATATAACAACTCGGTAGAGATTAGACAGTGCGAGAATGATCTGGATGGGTACACACTGGACTTTTCATTCATGCTTTTGGATTACTGGAATAGAAAATAAGATCAATTATTTAGATGGCAAGTAATTTTCAAGTCAGCCTCTGTCTAACTTTATATAGTCTAATTTGACCTTTATGGGGATATAAGTAGTAGCATCCCAAATTATACATACTACCTTGATTTTTAATGCTGTTAATAGCATGAATCTGCACACTGAAGTTGTTGTATAGACAGCTGAGCATAACACTGCATCAATTTTTAATAGCAAATTAATTTTATCTGGAACAGTGAAGTGTCTGTGTTTATGCCTACTGCAACTTTCTCATATTCACCTAATGGTTAGCATATGAGTTTTTATACAGCTCTTAGCATCATCTTGATGTTTGTCTTTTTTTAGTGCCTTCTAAATTAAAACAACCGGTACCCACAAACATTCCTACTCTACAATTTGCATAACTTACAACTAATCCTTGTCTTCCAGGTGGTCCAGGAGGTCCTGTCAGAAAAAAACCTCCATTTGGTTCTCCTTTTTCTCCTTTTACACCAGTGTCTCCATTGTCTCCTTTTTCTCCCTTTAAAGAGAACATATTTTAAAACATTGAGCTGAAGTGAGATCAGAACTCTGTGCACTGATCTTTTAAATTCACATGAAATATATGACTTTAATAAAGAAAAGCATCTGCTTAAAATCTTTTTGACATCATTTTCTTCAGTGATACAGAATGAAGAGGACTGCTTTCTCTATTGAGGCTTCTAGGCTCTCAGCTCAGGGTGTAGGCGAGGTGGGGTCAGGTAGAGGCAGAGAAAATGCCTCTGTTGCTGTTCCCTGCTATTCTACCCAGCAAAACCTTATTCTGTGCTGTAGCTGGAGGCAAAGAGAAAGTCAGAGGAAGCATAAAAGCCTGGATTTCTGCTTTTCTCCATCATCAAGGAAAAAGCAAAGCAAGATTGTAATGGAATGGACAGATTTTTAAAAGTATGTGGCAAAGTGAAGAATATTGTGCATAGAATGAGAGAGAAGGGCAGTGATGTGTACCAGGATAACAGAAGAGACACCACATAAAATTTCAGATGCTTTGAACTGCATGTCTCTATCCTTCATCATTGATTATCAGTTTGAGGAACAGAGTGATCGGTAAGAAGCAGCATTTAAATTCTAGGTCATTGTCTCTCTGTGCAAAATTAGCTACAGCAGTTGTAGGTTCCTCCGTGCATTATTTCCTTCTGTCTGTCTGATGTTTTTTTTCCCTTTGACTTTTTTTTTGGTCTACTTTATTTCACCTTTCTGAGAAATAAACCTGTGAATAGAAGATGCAAAGGGGCAAAGCAAGAATGGCGGGTAGCTGCAGAAAGCCAGTAGAGATGGCTATGTATCGCTCCTCCTCTGACTTTTCTTCTTTTTAGTTTCCCAGTAAACAGGACTGTAAAGCTTTCTGTATGGCATGCCATTTTGCAGACATGAAGCACTAGATGAAAAATGAGTTATTTGTGGCTAAAGCTACAGACACTGTTCCATAAGATCAGAGAAGCCATATCAGCTCTGCCATGCATGCATGGGCCACTTTATACCATGGAAATAACTTAGGTGCCCTCCGTCAAGCAGAAACAAAATCTGAAAACTAGAGAGCACTGAGTCCTTCAAGGAAACTGACAGTACACTGCTTTTGGTGGCACCATTAAATGAAAACTTGATTCAGTTTTTTTCAGATCTACTGATAAAGAGCCTTGTTCACTTAAAAACATTTAAAATAATATACATTGTTATCAATTTTTGTCATTTGAAGCAGTCAGGAGAATAATGGGACAAAGAGAGACCAAACACATCAAGGTACAGCTATACTTTGTTGTAAGAGACTCCAGGAAAAGTAGTTTTGATCACTTTAACTTATTTTATTTAGTGTGCTTAAAATAAAAATAGCATTACACAGAAGTGATTTCCCCACCCCCTCCATGTGTTAATTGTTGCTAAATTTTTCTAGAAGCCCTTTAGGTAATGGATGTCTCTTACCTGAGCTGGCATGGAAACAGAAGCATTCATTTATGACAGATAATTTATACCAATTTATGTTAGGTAACAGTGAATTATGACTCACTTTAATAACACCGGGAAGGGAAAAAGTTCAGTAATAAATTTTTTTCAAAAGTAATATTTATGTACTATTGACATCGGTTGTCCTAATACTTGTAATAAACTTGTCTATGCAGCTGGAGTTTAAGAAATGAATATAATTTGTAACTGCTGTTATCTGTTTTGTGTATTTCACCATGCTATACTGTTTTATGCTTTATTTATAGTAAAGTACACTTTAAAAAAAGTTTAACAGAACTCAAACACAAATGGGATATAATTACCTTTATGCTATTAATAAAGTGGCTGAAATATGATGGAGGCAGAGGTGGACCTAAAAAATGAAGAAAATACAATAAAGTACAATAATTATCTGTAATTTTCTTTTTAAAAGCTCTGCTTTGGATATTACTGGTTTAGGATTTTAAAGGAAAATTATTTTCAATAGTAACATTAACTTTTACATCTAACAGTTATTTTTAGTTTGGTTTCCTAACAAAGTGAGGCTTATATGCCTTATCTTGTCTGTCACTCCTTCACCTTAAAAACTGAATCTGATTGTGAATTTCAGACAAATTTTAAAGCAAAGAATGCTCAAAGATGAAAAAATTCCAGTTTTCTGAAAGAAAAGCATCCAAATTAACCGTTTTGATGGAAACCAAGGTAAAAGAGAAGTTTTCAATAGATTTTGTCAGCAGTGGAGTGGCCAATACATAGTTTTGTTGTCTTTCATGAAAGGACAGTACCATAACTGACAAGGTAAAGAAACTGTAACTGCTGTGTTGCTGATCATAGAATAACAGTTCCTTGACATTTTTCTGCAACACAAACCAGTACCAGTATCAATAGTTATAGCACCTGTGTTGTGTTGTCTGACAACAGTGATCAGGCAAGGCTGTCAAGTCACAAAAAGTCTAAAAAGCCTTCAAGTATTCTCTGTTTGGCATACACTTGAAAAAAAGACTGGTTTACATTTGCCCATAACAACTCAATATATTTTCTTCAAATGTGTTCTGATTAATTTTTGATATCTTTGGGTCCCACAATATGCCATAAGATCTCAATATGTTATCTCATATACAATTCAGTCAAGTAGACATTGTATACACCTGTACTCTGGGACAGAAATATATTCCCACTATGGCAGCTATTTTGATTTTTTTCCAGTCCTGCCAATTACAGCTTGCTGCAGTGATTTGCTTGATCCATGTGAGGGGATGGAGAAAAGACAGGTGGAATGGAATGATAGGTGTCCTTCTCAGATGTTGCTTGGTATTAATCTCTACACTGGCCCATATCTGAGGTCTTTCTAGGATGACCAGCAAGCAGACTAGGCCTGGGCAAGGTATGTGAGGAAGAAGGAGGTCACTAGTCAAGGTGGAAGTCAAAATCTGTGGTAGGGGACCAGTAGACTCAACCTACACTGGTAGGCAAACTGTGTTAGACCAGTTCCTCAGTCCTGAGGTAAAGTGGCACAGCTTCCATCCATATAGCTAAACTGTCCTCCTCGCCCTCGAAGCATGAGACTTATTCGTGCAACTTGTTGTGCCAGTCCCTGGCTTAAGCTATCCCCCAGACCATCCTATTGTCTGGGAAAGTGTTACTTGTAGGCCGAATCCAGGCCAAGAAACATGGGAACAATTAAACTGTGGGACAATTGTCCTCTGTGTCCTGGGTCTATTTATTTTACTAGTATACACAGCCAGAGAAGTTTGCCTGACATGGCTTGTCAATGGACAAATCCAGTTCAGTCCTTTTCTGTAGACATTCAGTGGAGGGCTGGTAGGCAAGTTTTGTCAGGACCTTTATGGATCTTAACACTAGCCAGAGGAAAACATACTTTGTTGCATGGCTTCTGCTGGTAGACTAGACATTTTCATTTCAGTTTGTTTTCAGGAGTGCTGAAAGAGACTAACAGCACTTTTCACATGCATAATCAATGGTAAAATCATGCCCTCCCAACAATCACAAAGTCACAGAACTTTGATGACCTTTCTTTTAGAAAATGGGAAACTACTTTCATATCTGGAATCTGATCTAGAAATTAACTTAGCCTCTGGAACAAGATAACTCTCTTACTACCAGAATTATTGCTTGCCTGGTGAGAAGCCATCTTGCCCCACCTTACTGATTTTCCTTTAGCACCATTCCTTCCAGGATTCATAGAGGAAAAAAGTGAAACTTCTTCATACAGAAAAGAAAGTCTCAGGACCAAGAAACAGGCCAAAGAGTGGATTTGGATGGATGTGAAAGCTTGTCCAGAATGCCAGGTTGGCTTTTTGGGGAACAACCTGCAGGAAGCGAGGGGATTGACTGTGGTCAAGGGCCACCATGCTGCAATAAACACTGCATTCTTGATTAGCAGATCTTCAGCCTTAGGCAACTGGGTCTGAGACTGTGATACAGTGAAGTCTCCTCCTCTATTTCTAAATACGTTTTCTTACAAGGCTCCAGACTGTGTTCTTCCAACCAGAAACACCAGGGTTGTGATGGAGCATTGCACATGTGGTGGAACACAGCAGGTATGCTCTGGATACTTACTACACCTGCCTCTATACAGAGGAGCTAAATAAAATGTGGCCTGCCATTTACCCACTTTGTGTGTCGGCTTCGTATTTGTGCATGTTATCAATTAATAGGGGCCTGCTTGTAACGTTGGAGAGGAGACATTTTGTGGGGAAAAAAAAAAAAAAAAAGTAATGTGGACAAGTACCACAGTTCAGAAAGCTTTTCTGATTGCTGCAACTCAGCAGATCTTGTAGTGTAAGGAACTTCAGCCATCTGTCTGTCAGAGAAGGTTTTGAAAAATTCCTGTACTTTAATCATGTTCCACTACGCTGGAACTTCTGGCTTGTGAATTTTCACTGTCAGTGATGACTTGGAAACACCAACCAGTTATTTAAAGTACTGGATATTGATCAGAATAAAAATTAATGAGGACAAGACAAGAAAACAGGTTTTATCAGAACAAATAAATGCCCTCTTAAAAATAACTCAAATAAAATCTTCAGTCAATAGAACTATGTCTTTGGAACAAAGACAGAAATATCTATATAGAAGCAGTATTGTATTTATTATCAACAGATTAGAGGACAAAGATTATAAATATGATATAGCAACATTAATTTGATATACTGCTTCTTTTATTTCAAATTATTTCTGGCACTGACCAAAACCTTATCTCAGTATGTGAGATTTCAAAAAATATATAGAAAAGTTTGTAATAGGAATCTTTTCAAATAAATACTTGTTTCTGTAACTGTTTTTGAGTGTGTAAGAATTAGCAAAGTGTATCAACTTTCTGATACAGAAAAGTAAATCTTGGGCAGGGAACATCTGTTACGATACTCTTACCATCAGTGTATTGGTATTTTTAGTTCACACAGACTTTTCATGATTATCACAAATAGAGCATGGAATATTAAAAAGTTGAAATGGAGATGATCTAGTTCCACTTCCTGATGGAAGTGGGACTGTCACCAACAAATGTCTGCCTTGAAGTCATAATGCAGAGGTGCGTTACCCTGAAATGGGAAGCACTGGCTCAGAAAGTTTGACAAGAAAATGATATCTCAGGAAGTGAACATGATACACTTCTAAGAATTCAAAAAAAATCTCTGACCTGCCAGTTACATTTCATTATCTATTCCTGTACTTAAAACATTCATAATACTCAAAAATGTGTAGTACAAATACTTCTTTTCAGAAGACATTTTTGATAACATTATGGGCTTTATTGTTCTGTGTGTCAGTTCAGCAAGGAACCTAGGTATAAGTCTTTAGGCTGGTAAGGCTGCAGGAGTAAGTATCAAAGTACTTTGCTGAACTGCTTTTTAAGTTAAACATGCATTCCTTTACAGGATGACAATGACATAACAGATTTCGTATACCTGGTGGTCCTGGAGCACCTCTGTCTCCCTTTTCTCCTTTTAAGTCCGCTGAATTGTGCGGCCCCCAGGAATCCCTGTTTGCTTTAGCACCTGCCATAAAAGCATTACAAATTCATGAGAACTTGCAAACAGCAGAGACTATAGCAGCGACAACCAAACCACTGAAAGTATGAGTGGACTTCTCCATACATGTACAATGACAAGGAGATACAAGATACATCTCTTGAAGTAATTTTTAATGGCTCCCTGCCTCTTATATTGTCAGCCCCTGCGGTCAGTTGTCATCTGTGCTGTGAATCAGAGCATCACTAAGAACACTGGCTCTTTCCAAACCTGATCTGATTACATTTATGAATTTCACTGGGATAAGCACAGAAACAATCTCTTGCTTGGGTACCCAGTCCATGCTCCATGATCCAGTGCTACTTGTAAATTGTTAAGAAAGCCTTAGTCTGAAAAACAGTTACAGTATTTTTCCTTCTGGTTGTGTGAATAGATACAAATAGAAAAGAATGAGACGGACATCTTCCCTTTCAAAGCCCCGTGTTACAACAGAAGTTCCCAGAAAGTTCCTCTCCACCTTCCTCTTTTGTCTCTCAGCCATGAGAGGTGAAAGATGGTCATACTCCCCATGATTTGTCTAGTGACTAAGCCTCCAGCTGTGGGCTCATGTTCAAAGACTTATTGATAGAACAGTGGGGCCTTATTTTCTGTAACACTGAGACAAATCACACAATCTTTCAGGTGTGCAGTTAGTTTTCCTAGTTGTCAGCTGAACCCTAACTATCCAAGCGTGTCATCTTCAGAGTTAGTTCCAGGAAGATTTCCAGTCCAGTCATCAATATTTAAGGTCCTCTTAAAATATTGACACCCATACAGAGCTTATACAAGGAAGCTCTGACTTGCTCTTCTTCAAGTTATTTTTCTTTACCACTTATTATGTCCACTCTTGCCCCTTACCCTGATTCCTTGCACTCTTTTCCTCTTCCTTTCCTTCCTCACTTGGATCAAGGTGGCCTGGTCTTTCCAAATGACTCAGTCATTGCTGAGGGAGAGAAGCTGTTCCAGTTGCTGATACCAGCCCACTGCCTGCTCTCTGGACAACACTAGAGAACTGGTCCCCAGATAGCCATCTCTTCCTCCAGAAACAACCCCAAGCCCCAGCATTTGGAGCTGATATAATATATACTACTGCTGTATGATTCAACTTGTTTTGCGTGCACTGTTTTTGCCATGCAGGCTCTGACTTATCTGAATAAACTCTAAACTCTCCAGATTCCCTTGCACAGTGATGTGAACAGTGATTTAATTCCCAGGAATATGGGAACTGGGAAACGGGTTCAGGCTGTATATTAGAGGCTGCACTACTGCTTTTTCCCCCACAAAATTACTCTGGAAGTATAACAGTTAGGCAGAAATAAATGTTATTATAAGTAGATAAATAAAAGGAGGAAGACCACTGACTTTATTTCCTCCATGATCTTAAGAAAACCTCCTTCTGCATTGTGTACTAGTGGATCATAAGAAAACTGATGGCTGCTCCCTGTGGATGCTCTGGGGTGTTGCTTTAATGTCCCAACTTCTTACAGCCACAAGAAACTCTAAAGGGGCAAAACTGTCACAGAGCTTTCTGATACCTTTGGAACTGAAGGACTTCTACACAATTTGGTCAAGGTGACACTTTTTCAATCAGCATTCATGATTTTTTTGGCACAGAATTGCTACTTGCTTCCCTCTGCATGTAACTGAATCCATCCTTGGAGCATGTTTTTGATGAAGGACAAAAACACTGAACAACAGATGCAGGCTTGCATTAATTTTAATGCCTGGTGTGCACAGTGACCATTTCGTGCTTATCTGGTGGCGTACTAGCTCAAACATAGAACAGTCAGACCTTTACAATAATCTTAAAATGGGATGAAAACTGTACATAAATGGTCACTTTTCCTCCAAAGGAAGAAGGGATTCATGCTGGAGTGACTTAAGGATTTAATAAGGATTTAATTAAGGATTTTAGATAATTAGTATGCATTTAGAGAAAAGAAATGATAGTGATTAATTGAATAAAACCAACAAGTTTTATACAAAATTGTCATAGTAAACGCCCTCACTTCCAAGCTTTTACCTAGGCTGAAAGTCTAAAAGAGCAGAATGTTCTTTATCAGCTTGAAGTCAACTCTTAGAACTAAGAAAAATGCCTTGAACCAAGAACTTTGGGCTCTCTGTGGACATTTATTCTGTTAGATCATGGATTCTTTGTTAAAAACAAAAATATGGTCAGAGAAAATTTTGGTGTCTCTGTATGCAGGGAGACAAGCAATTGGGAGTCTTTGAATTTAGGGGCAACACTGGACAGCCTAGGCTCTATGGATTTAATTCTGTGCACATAGCCCTGAAGAAATGTGGACAGTTTGCCAAGCACAAGACTTAAGCTTTCACTTGTAAGAGGTGAGTCAGTCATTCAGCAGTAAAGATGCTGAAAGAAAGTTCAGGGCGTCATAGTACCCCACAAATTTGACTTTCTATCATCCTGAAACCCCCTTCTACTAAAAGGAACGAAAATTAAAAACACTTCTTCAGCATTGTGACAGTTTCCCCAGGGTCCTCATGTGTGGAGTTTCTTATTCTCCTTCCCCATTAGTCTTACTTCCTTCTTTGTCTGTCAGGTTTTTGTCCTAGATACTCCCGAACTCCAGAAATTACTCTTTTCAACAGGCCTCACCTTTCTAGTGAAGGATGAAAAACATTCCTCATGTCTCACTAGAAAAATCACTACCTCCTCACAGATGGAATTGCTAATAGCTTGTTTATTTCCCTCAGCAATATTCTCTGGGATTCCAGCAGCCAATATGTCCTGACCCTGCCTGTGATAATTTTCTTTTAAGCAAAAGGATGGGAGCCTGACTATAAGCTAATTTTTTCTGGGTATCAGTCACTTGGAGAAAGGAAGTGTTTCTGACACCATCAGTCAACCACTGGAAGAATGAGTGGTTAGAGGAATGAAACTACCTGGTTGTTTGGTGGGATGTAGTATCATCTGGACTTTAGAATTTGCATCCTAGCCACATTGCCAGAGCAGAGAGTAAAGAGTTGGCACAGCCATGTGTGACATCTCTGTTCTGACAGGACTTCTAAGATTAGATCTTGCAGAAACAGCGTTGCACTGCTCAATCTACAAATCTTAGTCTTCAAAGTGCAGACCTAGGTCCATTTTTTCTTTGGCCTATTGGCCAGTATTGAGACTGGGCCAAGATATGATCCTACAGTTTCACCTGAAAAAGATGCAAGACCACTTTTTTTAAAAAAATTCTTCCTCCCCCCCCCCC